ATTTGTTAATGTTGTGAATTTGTTAAAAAGTCAATGTTTGGCAACAATTACTGGGTGTCATAACATGACTTTTGTGTTCATGAAAACTGTTTAGGAGTTGAATTTCTATTAAACTCACTGGTTCAAATTAGGTCAGGATTTAAAGAAACATAGGAGGCTTTATAAATGATAAGGGGGTTAGATAGTTTGAGTGACAGGCGGGTGGGATTGGCTGCCTGATGGGTGCTAATTTCAGTCACTGAACACAAACTCCCAAATCTCCAATATGGTCAGTTTTGACTAAAATAAACAAAATGGCAACAACAACGGTGCCAAACGAGAGGATTAAAAACATTAGTCAACAAATAATGGTCAGATCTTGGTCAGCAACATCCATCTCTTAATCACAGTCAATGAGTTAGAGGTGAAACACGCTTCAAACTTTCAAGACCAGGAGGCTTTTTGAATCTAAAATCTACCGAACTTAGTGTAGTAGTGAGCAGCTGTTGTCTTATTCAGTGTTTGGGTTTAATTCCAATTAACGATTAATTGGTTAAAATTGTTAAATATACAATGTTGTATTGTTGATGCACCTTTTTCTCAGCCATAAGTGTGTTGGATACATGACTGATAGAAATGATGAAGTCAAAGCTACAAAGATAAAACTTAACTTAGGTAAAGATAAACCAGAATGATCTTTTATCTGGACATTTAAACAAGGAGGGAAATAGAACAAAAACAACTGTTCCCTAAAGCAGAATTGACTCAATATGTAGAGGTTTTGAAATATAAATGATCTCAAATAAAAGGGTTGAGTCCTTCGAAGTGCTCTGTGAATACATACAAGAACGCACACACTAACACACAGTGAATGGAATGAATATCATGGGTCATTTTACTCTCCTTCCTTTCCTTTTTCGTTTGCTCCCTCCTTCCATAATCTGTCTCTCTCCTCCTTCTCTCTCTCCCTCCCTCTCTCTGTGAAGGTCATGCAATTGATTTTCCTCTGTCTATTCATTTTTCAAGACTGGCTTTGAAACGTGGGAAGCAGACAAAAGCCACACCGGCCCCTCCCCTTCCCTCCCCTTCCCTCCATACATCCCTCCCCTCTCCTCTTCTCTCCTCTCCTCTCCTCTCCTCTCCTCCATCCTCCACCTTCCTCTCCGCTCTCCACTGGCCCTCGCCCGTCCAAAAACCCTCGGACATGAGGGAGCGAGTGAAGGAATGCAACCTCCCCCTCCTCCTTTCCTTTCCTCAGACTCCTCTTCATCCTCTCATCTTTATTCCTTCTACATCGGTCCCTTCCCCTCCTCTCCTTTTCAGCTGGAACTCTGACCACATTCCACTAACAGAATTAAAGTCATGCATCACACTTAAAAACCCTGCCAATGCATTGTGGGTAGACTTGTTCAAACTGATGTCCAAATTAGCATTGCATTTTCAGCCTTGGCCCCGCTGAGGCTGTATGACCAGCTTGTAGAAATCTCCAAGCATTTAATAAATGACTTAAGATATCAGTAGAAGAAATGCCCGAAACAGTTCAGACTCTAATGTCATTTGCAGGTAGAACACGCTGCAATTCAGTGTGCTTTTAAATGCCTCACAATATCGGTGACCTTCGTGTAGCTGCTGCAGGATTCTTTATTTACAGCTATGGTTTACATTTGTCCCGAGCTTTTCATTGTAGTGTAAGCAGCACAACTCACATTTGTCTTTCTACTTCACTTTCAGCTTATGCGTGGGACAGCAAGGCTACCTGCACACCGACTTTTCTAAACAGCAGTTTTTTTTTGTCTGTCAAGGCCAAGAAAAGCAAAACAATTCACTACGTGTGAAGCTCACTGAAAGCCATGACTATGTGTGAGTATGTGACTATGACTATGAGTACGTATGGATATCACTCAGACATTCAGATTGTGCAGCGCTGCATGCCTGATTAGATATCGATGGATCCTTTTGGATTCACCCTTGATAATGTATGTTCTCTTTAGAAAAGGGCTATGCATGTTTTATAGAATAGAAGATATTTCAGTGGGATACTTTTGATTAACAGTGTGAAATTCAGATCATTATTATTACTGCTTTGTATTGAACTTCAATAGTTTCTAATTACTGTCTGTAAATACTCTGTGTGTGCCTTTTAAACGTAAAGTCATGATATCCTGTGTAGCTGTCGCAATAAGCATTAAAAAGATCAATGAGTGCGTTTACATGGACGTTAGTGTTACAGACTTCATTAAGTATCCTGTTGTGGTTGTGCATGTCATGAAAGATGGTGTTAGTAATTACATTAACAAATGCTCTGTTTCCCCATGACAATAATGTGATAGTGAGCCAGCTTGCACAATACCATCACACTGAATCCGAGCCAGCCAATCAGAACTCAGTTATCATTAGTGAAATGATTTATACCTGTGCTTTTTTAACACTAATTTTCTTACTTTAAAAATGTCCTGATTTTTGTGGTATGCGATGTATCCTGAAGTGGACATTGAGTAGGTTTACATGGACTTAAACTTTTTTTTTAAGTATCCTCTTTTTGTGTTTGTGTAAACATCATATCCTAATTTTAGAAACAGGGATAAGCCCCGATCCAGATTTTGCGAGCCGGAGAACTCTAAGGGTGCGGTCACACTGGCCATCCGTACCGTGCCCAAGCACGCTTCAACCTTAAAGTCAAAAGTTTGTTTGGCCAGTGTGACCGCTCCGTGCCGTGTTCAGGTATGGTACACTTCCTTGGCTTTGGCACACTTTGGAGAGGTGTTTTTCGGCACGGTACACTTCATGCACGAGCACAAGCACGCGGGTACACAACGCTGACAGCCTTCATTATGGAGAAATCCAGAGTTTCATGGCTGTATCTGACTAAAATGACTCAAAGTAAGCTACAAAGTAGCTGTCATGTTCTCTGTGTTGTTCTCCGATGTGCGGCCGCGGACTCGGCCGCAGACTCGGCCGTGCATCTATATTATTTTTTTATTTATTTATGGCTGTGTCTGATTAAAATGGGTTAAAATAAGCATCAAAGTCAGTAAAGTAGCTGTCATGCTCTCTGTGTTGTTGACTGGGCGTCCCTTTTTTGTTCCTCTCTCTCGAGTCCGTCTGTTTGTAAACACGCTTCATAATAACATAAAGCGTGCATGTGTTGTATTACGACGTTATGTACAAGAGGTAATCATACTTAGGCCCGGCCAGTGTGACCGCGGGCCGGGAATGGCGCAGCGGGGGGCCAATCGTGCTTGAGTACGGCACGGTACGTATGGCCAGTGTGACCTCACCTAAAAGAAAATGGGAAACCATGGCACATGGCACCGAATTTCCCTCTGGGATTAAAGTATTTCTGATTCTGATTCTGATTAATTCGCCTTACCCCGGTTTCTCCAAGCTGCTGACTACCTGCGCAGACAGGCAGCATCCCAACAAATCAAACAAAGCAGCAGCAGCTACAAGACCCTCTTACTTCTGGAGCGACAAAGACACAGAGTTTCACATCTGTGCTTTTCCTGCGATGGCAAGTCAAAATGTCTGCTGTGAACGAGCCTTTTCAAACGGCCATTAAGATTTAGGAACATTCTAAATATATGAGTGTTTTCTGGGGCCCTTTTTGGGGATCACCCCCTCCTCTACTTTTCAAAAACAAAAGTAATTTGTCAATTGCAACAATGACAACAAAGTTAATCTGACTCACATTTCTTACCAGCATCTCCAAAAGTCATGAAATGCTACCCCAACCCATGAGATCACTTAGTTCGCTTACATAGTTATGTAATTTGGATAAATTTGTAATGATGAAGACATGTTGGTTATTAAAAGGCCTTTCCAATAAAAAATATTGTTGTTCAAATCACAATTTAAATGATCTTGATAAAAGTATTGATTTGGTATTGTTAATAATATTTGGGTCGTGCATTAGCACCACTTTCTCATCTTTATAAATCAACATGTGAACAGGCATCAGGGTTTATATGGCGGTATAACGAGCCTACACACTCACACATCAGCATGGCTTCAACATGACACACATTTTTTGCACATATTTCCACAAATCGGTCAAGAACAGGCACGAACACAAAAATACACACATAAACACACACCTCTAATTGTAGCAGCATCGTTTCCCTTCAGTAATAGTAGCAATTAGACAGGCTTTATAATTACACTGTCCTCGTTATATAGTTAATTTCTGTAATTACAAATCGCACCAATAGTTCTCTCCCTCGATGTGTATCATCAAACTCCTTCTTACACACATAAAAACACACACTTTCACACTTCCAATCGATACATAAATCCTTCTCCCACTCCCACCAGCCTATGGAGAGTCTTTGTATGATTATGGAAACATGTAGGTTTACAGGCCTGTAAATGAACATGTGCTTGGCCAGCATAAGTAATTATAGTCACTAATAGAGGACCAGATAATTGTCCTGGTCCTCAACATATTTTTTTTGGCATAGGGTTTCTCTGTGGGTGGGAGTAAATGGGCAGACTGCTGCTGAGCACTTTTGATTGAGGAGGGACATGTGAGTTGAAACACAGGTTTTGATTAGTTTGTGTCTGAAGATCTGTGCTGTGTCTTTTCCTTATAGGATGAGCTGCATGAATCCTGATCTGAGACATGACATGAAAGCACAATTTAAGCTCTTATCAGGCGTTTTAGCAGGTTGTGAAACAGACAGAAATAAATTAATAATTTGTCAAGTGTCTCCTGGGTAGCTTGCATTGACATGTGTACACCTCAGCACTGGTGGAAAATGTAACTTGAATCATAAAATTGTACATAACCAGAGGGTGTAATTAAGTGATTATTAAAAGTGCAGATAACGTACAATAAGATGCTATATTGCAATGACTGCTGTATTGTTAAGGTATATTGCCTCTGAAGGGCAAATACAACAATGGATCAGCAGTCAAATGAAAGCAAATGAAACATTATGAGAATTTCAATATGTGATCTGAATGTCCTTCATATAGAGAACCTGACTGTTAATCTTGTTTTTAGGTGTCTCCCTTTTGCTTACCTTTGCAGTTGCTGTCTCCCTCCATCAGTGGGCTCCAGGGCGGGTCTCCCTGGCTGGCAAAGGTGCGCATGTGCAGGTAGCTGATGGTCAGCCGTATCACCGAGGCCTTGTCCAACTGGCTGGTGATGGCGCCAGGCAGAGGCAGCATCTTGGCCAGCTCGAAGAACTCAAAGTTCTCCTTCCCCCGCCGCGACCGAGCCGCATTGCGAGACTTCTCTTTACGCAGGTTCTGAAGACTGCGGAGGGGCAGAAAGGGGGTTGGGTGTTTTTACGAGCGAAAAAGACAAGCGTGAAGGGGTGTGGAGGGGAAAGAAAGTGGTAATTGGCAGAAACAGATAACAAAGGGAGGAGAATCAACAGGAAAAGGGCAGAGAAATATTCTGACCCAGTAACGGGTATCACATAATGGCCTTTTACTGACCACCTGTAGATTGATTCTTGCTCTGTATAAATGACCTGAGCTCCGTTCAGAAACTCATTCCATAAATACACATGATATTAATAGCTCCTGCAAGTCTTTTGAAACAATCTCCATCCTGCCCTTCTACAGATTGCCTTCGTAATTACAGACAAACTCTATCCCTCTGTATTTCACAGCAGAGTCCTAATAATGCCATTTGCTCCAAAATCCAATATGTGAACACACACATACAATCTCTCGCTGACTATCTCACACTTTCCTCCACTTGATTCCCCCCCCCCCCCCCCTTCCTCTCTCTCCCTCTCTCTCTCTCTCTCTCTCTCTCTCTCTCTCATCTGGACCCGGGCTGGTGAGCTGAAACCGTGATTGAGGGATCAATAGGAGAGGGAGGGGCAGAGTGACAGAGGGGGGCCGGGGCTCAGGTAGCCTGTCTCTCTGATTGGGTATTGACTCTCCTCAATGGGGCTTGAGTGGTGGAATTATGTTGTCACAGCCACTTCACAATTTGTGTTGGTGCTGCGCTGGAATAAAGTGTGCGTGTGTGTGTGTGTGTGTGTGTTTGTGTGTGTGAGAAAGAGAGCCAGAGGAGCAGGACGGACCAGCTTTTCTCCCTCGTGTCTGTGTTGTTGATTCTCCTCCCATGAAAGACCACTAGTGGGGGGTGTGCATGTGAGCAAAGAAGGGAAAGAACACAGAAAAGGGCTGTGTATTGTGTTTGTACATATGTTTGTATATTAATCAGCTGACACAGATGTTGTATTTCTCCCTGCTATTCTCTATTAAGGGTGCACTGTGTGTGTGGTTGTGTGTGTGTGGACTCATGCTGCCAGCCTCTGTAACATCTCATTATTATACCGCCTCGACCCCGGCCACAGAGAACAATCAATACGCACACATTGATTCTGCTTAGTTTTTATATCCGCCTGTAAATGACTGCCCATTAATAATTCCGGCCAAATTTACTTAATCTCCTGCTAAGGGGAGGGGGATTCATGGCTCTGACAGGATTGGCAGGTGGGCAACAATACCAGTTAAATGAAGCGGCAACAAGATCAGACTTATGTTTTCTAGGTTGTGTTTCATTGATAAGAAATTCTTCTTCAGGCTGTCACTGTGTGCAAGGGTGCTAAGGCATGGATTTCACCTTGCAGAAATTAATTCATGGACATGCATTCAGGCTTATACAGTATCAGCATGTGTGTGTGTGTGTGTGTGTGTGTGTGTGTGTGTGTGTGTGTGTGTGTGTGTGTGTCTGTGTGTCTGTGTGTGTGTGTTGTGTCTCACCAGGGCAGGGTGGGAGGCTTGGCCAGTAGTCCTTGCAGGAAATCCCACTCCACACTTACACACTTCCCCTCGCTGACAAACGGCATGGTCGCCATCCCAATCACGTGCCGACGTCGGCGTTAACGAAGGCTCTGATTGGCTGAGGGTGTGACGGACTCAGACCTTGAGTTCAATGACAGACAGCAGAGGAAAGAGGAAATAAGAGTTTTGAGTAATGTAAGTAAATTCACAAGTTAAAGCTATAAAATAATCATGTCCGATACAACTTCGAGCATTTTTGGGATGTTCCATTTAAAAGGTTTTTCGAAACCTTGTATTCATTAACAGTTATATTTATACTATATTGTATTATATTATATTGCTTAACAGTTTCTTTCATTGAATAAAATACTTTTTAAGGCTTGAGTGAGCATGAAGCCTTTTCTCAATTAAGGACATTTGTGACATATCCACTTTTACATTGAAGGAATTTTATTTTTGAGAATATCATTTATGTTAACATGCTTGGATGTAAACTCAACTTACAATTTCTTACCTAATCTATCTGAAAAATTGGTTTCCTAAATATGCTTGTTGAAACTAGCAGCCATATTTACAAAGAGGGAGAAAGAAAGAAAGAAAGAAAGACAAAAAGAAAGAAAGAAAGAAGGATGTTAGGTTGACAGAGAGCAATTATGTACAGTACGTACTTCCCCACTTAAAGGTCAGGGACTGTTCCCAAGGTAAAAGACATAAAACAAAACACTAAGCCACCTTTGAAGCCAAAATTAAGCTGAAAATCCCAGATGTCCAAACGCCTCCCCTCTCACTGAGAGGATATGCAAACTTGTTTGCGACTGGACTTTGAAACAAACATCTCCAAAGATGAGGCACATCCCGTCCGTTGCCCACTCCTCCACATCTATTGATGCATTTTTCCAGTCTCCGACACCTTCTCCCGTGGTCAAAGTTGCCAATATTCTTCAAATGTCCTCAAAGAGAGCCCTGCTCCTCACCAGTCACCCTCCCCTCATTGCTGTGTTGACATTTAAAGGGCTGGTGTGGCCCCGAGCACACCCATGTCATGCCCTTGGGCCTGAGATGCCCTCTCTCTCTTTCTTACTGCCTCTCACTCTCTATCTCTCTCACTATTTGGCCCGGCTGGGTCAGCACAATCAACTCAGTAGAGCTTTGCCGGGGCGGAGGAAAATGGATTATGTCTCCAGTTTGAGCATTGCTATGTTGACCTTGGTTAAGAGGGGTCAGCAGAAGCCGGGCAGGTTTGGCAGATATCATTTCACAAATCTGGGCTTAAACAGCCAATGTAAAAATGTATGCAGGAAAACTTCTTGGACCAATTTCAAAGGCAGAGGAGTCAACGTTGGATTCACCCCAGAGAAAAGATGGTAAAAGGGGAGGTCGGGTCATACACCTTTAGTAGTTAAAGGCTGAAATAAAAAAGCAGAAAAGTATTCTTTCTACTGCTAACAGTCTTGGCCAGTGAGAAAAAGAGTGGCCTCAGTAGAAACTGAACAAATGGTTATTGCTTGGGGTGCCGGATAGGCCAGTGGTTATGTCGCACGCCCCATGTAGATAGACTATAGACCACGTCGCAGCTGCCGTGGATTCTAATCCGACCTCGTCCCATTGCTGCATGTCATTCCCCACTCTCTCCTCCCAAAATGTCCTGTCTCTCTTCAGGAGCCTAGAGGTAAAATCATCAAACACTGATAACTACCAACAAGACAGTACTACAGCTAAAGCACACCAGACTATCTGTAATTAGACTGATTATACATGTAGTTACTGTCAATGCCTGTCATAGCCAACGTCCAGTCTGTGTCAGACAGAGCCATCTACAGCGTGCAGACCGGTATTGCCATTGGAATCCATGGATTCACAGTGAGTGGTAGTGTAACACTTGAAACCAAGCAGGATGAGGTTTTTGTCAGAAAACACTACTTAGCATGTAAAAGATCATATCAGTAGAGAGATAACGTATCACACTAACCTCACAGTAGCTTTATCCTGAGCAGACTTAAGAGAGAATGCTAAAGTCAGCATGATCACATGATCAAAGGGACAACGCTAACATGGAGCAGTTTAGTCTACCATACTCACCGTTTGAGCTTAGCACATTATCGTTTCCTAAATAACTTCAAGTGCAGTTGAGGCTGATGAATTCATTAGTGTTTCAGATTTTTGGGGTATTGACAAAACTGCTGAAGAAAATTAAAAGCAATACAGAACAGCTAAAAACTTAATGCAGACACAGTGTGGTAAATACATTTTGGCAATGTATAAGCCAAAGGCTGTATCACAAATCAACTGTCCTTTTTTTTTTTTAAACGCATGATTAATTGCGATAAACTTTCTTGGCTTTGGGAGCGTACTGTCAGCTTGAATTTGGTTGTATCAGATTCTGATCACTTAAAATGGATTGCCCCATAAGTTGATTTAAGTCACTAAGAGAGTGGTAAAGATGCTAATTTGATCAATCAAGGGGAATTTTCCGACGCAAGATTTAACCCTTACGCAGGGTGCTTACATTGACAGAATATTTTGTCCCTGGCTAATGTTTAAGGCTGAGGCTTCACTCGACTATAGGAAACCTATATCTGCTTGTCTAAAGCTTGCACACTGAGACATTGACAGTGCTTTTTCACAAAGAGTCTGCTGAAGAGAAGACAGGGTCGAGCTGAGGGCAGCACACCTCTGTCTAACAACTTCACCTTTGTCACCTTCTCTATCTCACCTGGTTAAATGTGCTACATGCCAATTTCAGCTGCATACAGTAGGATGGAGGGATTAAAAAAGGAGACAGAGGACGGAAACAATTTACCCTCACATTTTCACCCACACATATACACATGCATGGCTTTTTTCCATCCCATACCTGTATGTTTATCTCTTAATTGACCCTATCTGTGCTTATCTAATCTCTCCCCCCATCTTTCTGTCTCGAGCTATCTCTCCATCTCTCCCTCTATCAGAGCAGACACAGGGGCGTAATGGACAGGGGCCTCCACAGTAATTATTCAATCAGCCTCATAACCTTGTCGCAGGTTGGGCGGCCCATTAATGCACTCACCCAAATGGACCCCGCCACTTTGACTGCTAATGCTCTGGCTAGCTAGCAGGCAGCAACAACAGGCTGAATGTCAGAAGTGTCATCTGGACGCAGAGTGTGAAACAATCCGCTGAGTCGACTTATTCTGTAACGGCTCAGTGGGAAATATATGGAAAAGGAAAAGTGTGACTTCTGAGAGCACTGAGTGTAAAAATATACGGCGCCCACAGCTGTAGAGATCAACCTGTATCAAGTGTGACCGCAGGTGTTCACGATGTGTTGCTGCAGTGCTCCATATTCATCAGTGTAGTTTATGTGAGTGTGTGTTTGAGACCCCTGCCCTATAGAGCCATGCACTTTTGGCACGGCCTCAACAGCAACAGAGCGGAGGGCACTGCGGCGAGCGTACACAGCCGCTGTTTGCCGTGCGTTCCCTCTCTGGCTGCTCGCTTGGCTCCCGCTCTGTTTATTTTCAGCGGGGACGTTTAATTAGGGCCTCCAGCTGTCAGTGGTTCGTTAGCCTGCCCCTCCTCTCCCCGCGTTGCCCCTTCCCGCAGGGAGCTAGGGGCATCAGGCAAATGAACACATTTAAGTCAAACAGCACGCAGACAGACAATAGCCTCAGTGCCATGCCACCAGCTCCCCTAGGTAGAGACATGGTTGTTTTATGCCTCATCTCCTCAACCCCTGGGGCCCAATATAGAGGCTGGCCAAGACTGTGAATGTGGAGGCAGAGGAGGTTTCATAGCTCCACAGAGACCACATGCACGCTGCCATCGTGCAAAGGTGACGAGTAGGCTCAAGCTGTAGGGAAAGGGGGAGGATAATAGTTTGAGCTCTGAAGGTTTTTATGATTTCTGTCAAGTTCTGAGGAGTTTACTATCCAAGGAAGTTATAAAAAAGGGTTTAGGGACAACCTACAGTATTTTTTTTATTTCAGATAAAGTGAAAAAACACACAGGAGTCTTTTCAAGTCTTGAAGCTTGCGTCTTTTTTTAGATCTAGTCTTGGTGGAGATTAGCCTGTCAGCGCCTTGCTAAAATAGCACCCCTGGAGTCTGTTTTACCAAATCTGCAATATTCAAACTTAAACTTTTGTTGATATCTGTACTGGGACATTTTGACTAGTTTCTTTTGCACCCATAGATGAGATGACAGGAGCATTGAACAGCTGATTTATCTGCAGTTTGCCAATAACAGCCCTTTGAGAAAAATGCTCAGGACAGGCTGGTCTGGCTTTGGCATGTTAACCACACTACACCTCATCTCTGTCTTCCCTTTCTTGTTTTCTGTCATCTATCAATTGTCTGAAAATACTAGAGCATTAGTATCTTCAGACTCTCTTACAGCTCTTTTCCAACCCTCTCTCTCTAATTATCTTCGACTTAAGGTCAAAGTGAAGTTCACATACCACAGCGATGTAGATATTCCGGCGAATAATATTTTATCAGAGGGAACGCTCAATATCATGGAAGATGTAGCAAACACGGTTGGAAATAACATGCACAGAATATTTGATGTAGCTAGTTTTCTATCTTGCCTTTCATGTTGTTGAGTAGTTGTAAATGAGCGTCTGAAGCGTCCGGGGAGATGAAGTTTGGTATTCTGGTTGGAGGGCTCAAAACTACTTATCATGCATTACGGCCCTGGTTGGACCTCAAGATTTGGAAGTCAAAAGACTTTTTAATGTACAATTTTTCAGCCGCTGATCAATCGACAGCTGCTGGACATGAAGCCCCCCCCCCCCATATCTATCAGTATTCCAACTTGCTCTGCATTCTGCTTTAGTATCCGAGCACCGGCTGCGGTTGACCTTGACGACTCATGATCATTCCAAACCAAAGGTTTCTCTCAAACTCTCAAGGGCCTTGGCGTCCCTCCCACCCCTTGCTCCCCTTCCTCCAATCCCTCCGCCTCTCCCATCATCCTCAGCCCCACATCCCCTCTCCTAACCCCCTCTTTGCTCCTCCCTGGCCCCTGCCTGGGTCATTAATTATCTAATGGAATCAATACGACGTTAGATTGGACCAGAGTGACCCCGCCTGCCCTCAGGTATCTCCACGTTGATGGAGAGGAAGAGGAGGGTTCGGGAAGGGTGTAAAGGAATGATGATAACAACCAGCAGTGTACAGTCACTGTGTGGACCGTCCCTTCACGGGAAGAATACAGAATAAAGAGATCAGTGATTAATAAATGATAAGAGAGGGGGGATTGGAGAGCGGATGGGGGATGAAGGAAGCATAAGTTGAGGTGGAGAGAGGTAAATCAGACAGTGAGAGAAAGAGAGTGAGCGGGAGAGGAGTGATGGACGGATGAAGACGTATATGAAAAAAAAGGAGAGAGAAAGAGATTTGCTAATGTTCACCCATGGTAATCAATATCTCTCCCCTCCTCTTTTATTACAGAGTGCTTTGGTGAATGAGCTTTGATGTCCACTCCTCACGGGCGTGGAGCTACGCAAGCTCCAATCCATGCCTGTCATAATTACCATCCACATCGGGCCCCAGTACACACAAACTATTCACTCCCCTTCACCTGCACTGTATTAAATATGAAAGTTCAAAGTAGCTACGCACAACAGCGTGCTGTATTTACAACATTAGCCTGAAAAATAGAGAACACCGTCGAGTGGATTTTTGAAAAAAAAGAATGTCATTCCTCATTTTGTGGAAAAAAATTCAAGCAGCATAAGAAGTAAAATAAGGTTGCAAACTTTATCCTACAAAGTGGTATGAATTAAAAGAGTGACAACTTCTGTGGCAACCAATTAGAATCATCAAAAATAAAAGAAACAACGTGTTACCCAAATTACTAGACAACTTAGACGATTTGACAAAGAACCACTTTATCTGGTGCCAGCACTGACAAGTAAAACTGGACACTGAGAGGATATGATAGCATGATATGGATAAAATGTGTCCTGTAATTTAAAGAGTTCATCATTAAAATAACTCACCAAAACAACCAAAATATAAACTTTAAATTAGAGTGAAATACAGCAATAATAGAAATAAATAATACAAATGTTAAGGCCGTCATGAACCATCCCTGACCTTTATGATATCTATGCCTAAAAGTCAAGACAAAACCCTGTGCCAACAAAACTGAACAAGTTCAACAGCTGCTGTAAACTCTGAGGTTAAATACTCCGACCTCTAAGTCAGAGGATCAAATAGGGAGGTCAATCAAAAGCGCTTCAAAGGGAGGATTCTCAAAATAGTCACGTTACTTTTCAAATGCTTTTTTTTTTTTCCAAATTTTATAAAGTTATTTGTGTTGAACAAACAGAAAAAGGTAAAAAAATAAATAAATGGAAAGTTCTCTCTCCGAGTGTGAAAGAGTCGGCTAAGTGGATGCAGGTTTCTCTCTATAAGGCAGAAGATGGTAAATCCACTCCCGCAGGCAGAGACCACATCAGCCCTGACCTCCAAATAACCACAGGCCAAAGCACAGCACACAGGGTCACTCACTCTCTCCAACACACACACACACACACACACACACACACACACACACACACACAGATGCAAGTGTGTGCTTGGACTTGAAAGTAAACTCATTCAGCACAGCGATGTCCACATGCTAATACAGACACATCAATTAGCAGGGTGCAAAAGTCAGAGTTCAGAGCACAGTCAAACTCTTCATAGGAGTTGCACAAGTTGTGTAGGTGTCTCGCTGCACCATGGGGACACCCTGATCCTTCGCAGGCCTCGGACTAGATTCCCACACACTGCTGGAAGCTTCGCGCTTTGTTTAAATATTTTCACATCTAGTGTTAACTTTTCCGTTTCGTCGTGGCATAAATAAGTTAACAAAAGAGATGATGATGAGAGGTTAGCACCTGATCTTGCATTAGACTGTGACTTTGGATGCCTTCACATCTTGTGCACGTCACTAAGTTACTGTGTGTGTGTGTGTGTATGAGTGTGAGTGTGAGGATCCCTTTAGGCCGGTGTGTGAATGACAGCAGGGGTTATGTAAGGAGCCACAGCGGGGCCGGAGCGGACAGTCCGAGCGGAGATCAGGTCAGCAGAGTGTGACACTAAACACATCTCCCTGACACCACGCTGACACCCTCTGTCACAGACCCACACACTGTCTGTCAATGCTCCTCACACACACAGACACACACACACACACACACACACACACACACACACACACACACTCAGGCAGGCACAGCCAGAGAGAGAGCAAGGCGTGTGTGAGCTGCTGTCTGTCAACATAGCAGACACTGACCACCTTAGTGTGTGTGCGTGTGTGTGTGTGTGTGTGTGTGTGTGTGTGTGTGTGTGTGTGTGTGTGTGTGTGTAAGGGAGCAATAGAAAGAGACAGAAAATATCAAGAGATGCAAAGGAAGAGGAAGTGGTGAGGTACCTGTCTACCTGCGACGATATCAGAGAGGCACGAAACTGAAATAACTTGAAAATGACTGATATCACCTCTATCTGTTCGTGTGAGAGTGGTGTTTATGTAAAAGAACTCTTAACTTGCAAAGAAAACCAGATGTTACCGTGCAAGATCATCAGAAATACACACCTGCACCGAAAATATAAAAACAGGTTCATCTGCCTGCCCTTGAGAAAAAAAACAGCTACCTTATATTAAACATTTTTTTAGCTTTACTTTTTGTCTGCCGTCTTCAAACAGAGCACTTTCTTGCCAACAATTTCACTTGCACAAAGTCATCCAATTCAGAGTCTGTCACACAGTCGCCCGCTGGCATGAACCGCAGCTCCTTAAACCCAAAAGCCAAAGAAGAATCTTGCATCTGGGTCTAATATAAAAGGCCTGAAGCGAGGTCACGACCAAAGAGCCCTGCACATGCCAGAGCTGAAACGGATGGAGTGGCTTAGAGGCTCAGTGGTCCGGGGTATAAACTGTACCACGTACGTGTGATGACACGGTCTCAAGCTGTTTCGTGTCAGCGCTTCTACATACATTTATTGCTGCTGTTTTCAATCTCCAAAGCAGGAATACCGACTGAAAAGTAGATATATAGCTTCTATAAAAATGTTAAATCCTGAAAAAGTGAAACAAAATACTGCTTTTTTTTGCAGTAAATGTCAGATCACATAAGAGCATGAACAGACATTACTCTTTTTTACTTATCGCACCACTTTGACACCTCGTCCAGACACCTGAAAGAGTGAATCTGTGCTGCAGGTAGTTATTTGCTTTGAATTTATCTCGAGCACCTGCTTTCTCTGCAGGTGTGTGTGCAAATGATGCTGCTGGGCCGGGTACCAAACACAGCAGTATTTATACAAAACAAACAACTCAGATTCTGGATAAATATTCAAGGAGGGTATGACAAAAGCACAAATATGGACATATGGACAGACACATGTGCAAACACAAAAAGGGAATCTTGCAGGAATCTAGACACACATTTTTGCACACCCATATAAAGAAAATGTTAAATCAGTGCTGGCTTCTTTAAGAGTCTGACTTTTACAGAAAGTAAAGAGACTCTAACTATCAAAAAAAAAAAAAACTGCCTTTCATCACAAACAAAAAAAAAATCAGAAATCAGTTGTGATGGTTGATGTTATTATTTACCGCACAGCAGCAGTGAACACTGTGCGTTTGTCACACTCATTCTCCCAATTTTTGGACCACCTGCTGCAAACACCCTGAAGGCAGTAAATGTTGCAAAGCCAGTAAACTGTGACCAATTCTGCCTTTGCAGGTTGAGACGGACATGCAGCCGCGCTCTCTCTCTCTCTCTCACACTTGCTTCTGTAGCTCAAACTTAAGCACACACACATTTTTATCAGAAAGTGTTTTGGTAATTATTATTGCAGCCATTCAGCACAGAACATAAACAGACAATTATTTGGATACTCGTAAAAAAGCAAGGATTGAAATAATCCGCAGTGAATTAGTCCATCGGTTACAATAAATTGATGAAATGCAAAAAGCCCTTTGAGTCTTTCAACATTTAATCTAGACATCTGATTGAATGAATTGTTAACATAAATTGTTTTTAATTCAATTACAAACTGTGCATTTGGTGCTCATATATGCACACTTATATTTACATGTTCTGTTATCAATTGTTCATTCAAACAAGCTTTCACACAGTAAAAGATGACATCAGGAAAGCAAAAGAAAGGTCCATTTAAATATAAAACTTTTCATTCTTTTTCGGCCGTTTACTGATTTTACTCTTTTATTAAATAAATTCTACAACCTTCTGCTATTTGCGTAAGGGCTCATAATTTAAATTGTGTAATCGATCACATCCTAAAGTTAATCGTTGATGCTCAAATGCTGATATTAAATATCAGAGAAAAAAGAAGACACCTCAGGTGTAAAGTTAAAAAGTCCTCTTTCACACATTAATAAAAAAGATTTAAAAAGATATCACTGACCTATCAGAAACCATCAATTTAAAACTACATGCAGAAATCAGACAAAATCTGACTTTAGAACTTTACAACTGTGTGTGTGCGTGGAAATGAAGCATGTGTGTGGGAAAGTGAGTGTATACTCGTGCATGTGTGTGTGTAAGTTGTTAGATCCATTATCAACTCACCTGACGGGCATTTCCAGCGATCAGTCTGCTGCTGTTGATCTGATCCACTTTGTCTCTCTTCTTCTTCCTCTTCTCCTCTTTCTCTTCCTCTCCTCCGCCTCTTCTACTCCGGAGCCCCTTGCTCTGCCCTGGCAGTGCCCCCTCCCCACCACCACCAACTCCACCAGCAGCACCTCGGGCTTAAACACAGCAAACAAACACTGTGTGTGTGAGCCAAAGGGAGGATGGGATGGGGGGGCAGTGTCGGTCCCCTCACTTTTCACAAAAGCTGTGGCAGTGCAGCCGGACACATCGTGTGGACTCCCGTTTGCAAAAAAAAAGAGAGTGTGTATGAAAGAGAGAGACAGAGTAAGAGAGGGGGAGAGAGACAGAGAGAGAGAGAGTGTGTGTGCGTGTTGTGTGTGCGCGCTAGCTGATGTAGCTCTCCCTGGCTCTCAGACTCACTTCAGCAACACTCTGCTCTGTTGCTTCTTGGAGATGGACTCGGATTAGGACACAGCCAGTGTGAGAATCTCTTTCTCGCTCTCTCTCTTTCTCTCCGTCCTGCTCTCTCTCTATTTCTCTCTCTCTCTCTTCAGCCGGCATGCTCCCTCCCACCCTTCCTCTCTCCCGCTCACTCATTCACTCTCCTCGCTGTGCTTTTTTCTTTTCATTTCCTCTTGGGAAAGCCGTGCACACCAGTTGTCTCTGCCTTCAGCTGCTTCCTCTCTCTCTCTCCTTCTCTCTCTCTCAGTCACTAGTAAATATAAAAGGCATGCTTGTACAGCCCCTTCGCCTCATTCTCTCTCCAGCTCTCCCTCCCTAACTCGCGGTGTCTCATGCTTGCGTTTACCCCCACCTCGCCTCAACACCCCCTCTACCCCCCTCGACACACCACTTTCTTTCTCAGTGTCAAAGCTGCCTTTCAAATGCTGATTAGCAGCCGGAGTAAAAGAGAGAGAGAGGGAGAGAGTGAGGGAAGGGATGACTGAAACAAGAGGGAGATTCCATCACATCCACACGGCTTGTAAACTGTGACTCTTGTCCCGTGCAAACACACACATGTACAAACAATCACTTGTTTGTTTATGACATCAAACTGACGAATATTGATTCCTGCAGACTGACTTAAACCTAACCTTAAGTGAAACCTTGTGGCAAAATTGAATTTTGTATTTCACTTTGCGAGAAAAAAATTTGTGTCCAACAATTTGAAAACCCTGACACATTTCACATTGACCTCTAAATTGACACTAACAGTATCAGTGCTTTTAAACCCCCCGACATTACAAAGGAGGCCTGGTTCTGATTGTCAGGTGGTCTTTCCAAAGTGTTAGAAAAATGATTAGGCGATAATACTTCTCTTCTTTTCATCGTTTATTTCCTTCATTTGTAAAAAGAAAAAAGTGTAAATCTACTTTTATCCCGTCCAAATTAACCTACCAGTAAGCTGACATCAACGTTTAGAGAAAACAAATCTAATAACTAAACTAATACTGCAGTTAGAACAAACCATATGACTGGTGGTATCTTGTTTATGTACTTATTTGATATGTTCACTAATCTTTAAGTTTTAGTTTTAGTTTTAGGGTGTTCTTTAGTACAAATTTCAGATATATTCCACCAATAACCATTAAAGCACATAAAGGGCCACTGGAATGTAAACAACACTGCATTACAAGTACTTAAAAAAATCTGCTTTGCACATTTTCATTAATCAGGGAATGAGATGAATCAAAGTGTGTCAGATTTAAAGGGCACAATGTGTTCTGATCAATAACAGTGGTGTCAGCATAACTTTTGTTGTTGACAAAAAGATTCACAGTTCACCTTTAAAACTGAAACTAAAATTATAATTCGATGGGCTGAGTTTGCTACTCTTCAAAAGCTTTTTATCAAACAGGGTATTAAAAGAGCCATCTTACATTGTTGAAGATTTTTTTTACAGATCCTAAACTCCTGCAGAGGCCTTGGGGCCTTAAATGAGCCTGATTGGCCGTTATCAAATAAATGGACTGACACATCTAACATGGATAAAGTAAACCTGTCTGGGCCGGCTGCGTCCAGACTCTGTTATGTAGCATGAACAGTAAATACTCTATTCAATCAAAAGTATCTCAAAATGACACATTAGTTCAGATTCTTGTAAATGCAGTAACAGACATTCCTCCTCTGACTGTATGCCAACATGTGATAAGACACACAACCACTACCACAGAGGCAAACAACACATACGCACACACATGCCAGCGTAAATGTGAACAAATAATCACACTCAGAGACTCACTCAAGTACTCTCTCTCCCCCACAGACCCCCCCCTCCTCTGTTCGTTCCCCATGCCCTCAAACACTACTCAGAATATTGATACATCACCCCCTCCTCCTTTTTCTCTCTCTCTCTCTCTCTCTCTCTGTCTCTCTCTCTCCCTCCATCACTCACTTTCTCTACTGAATACTGATAGGCTGTCTACTCCGTGGTCTGAGTTTCAAATCTCTTCACTCCCTCCCTCCCTTACGCCTGCTCCTCGTCGTTGCACCCGCCACAAAAAAAAACAAAAAAAACAGCAACATAAAGGAGGAAATAGCAGAAGTTAATGCACTGAGGTAGACATAAATTCACTTAAGTACCATTTCAGATTATGTCAAGCTAAAAATGGGCTTAACATGGTGGAGAGAAGAGGAGAGGGGGGTGACAGAGGAGAAGGTGGGGTGGAGCGGGGAGGAAAAGTGTTGGTTGGCTCTTTTGCCTAGCGGAAACTGGCCGAGCGGCTCGTAGGACTGTAGAGAACGGGCGGCCGGCAACAAAAGAGAAGAAGACGTGTGAAAAGTTCAGGCAAATGAAGACGCATTCAGTGTGTTTTTTTGTCTAACTCCCACCCTCCCGCCTCATTGTTGGATATGTCAGCCATGGCGGGTCCAAGTGGGGGGGGGGAGGGAGTGAATGAGGTCGTCAAAGAGTCCCAGTGAGCCCCCCTCTCTACTTCAGACACACACACATCAACACACACACACACACTCAATAGTTCTAAACAGCTGAGAGCAGGAGAGAAAGGGACAATAAGAGACACAACATAGACTGAAAATGTCCTGCTTTCTCACATGGACGTGAAGGTGCAAGAGCCTTTTAGGATGTTTGTGTGTTTAAGTGTGTGTAAGTGTAAGTGTGTGTTTGTGCAGGAGAGACGTTGTGTGAGCCTGTATTCTCTTTGGAGGAGGCTTTCTGTCTGCATTAGAAGTGCAGTGCAACTGAGACACTGGGAGAGGGAGTGTGTGATTTTGTCCTCCAAGTCTTCCCCAGGCGTCCTTGAAGGAGACTGGCAGGGAATATCTGACTCTGAGTGTGAGAGTGTGTGTGTGTTGTGTGTGTGTGTGTGTGTGTGTGTGTGTCAGTGAGTGTTAGAGCCCTCACAGGCTGAGTTTAGGACCGGAGGCTTGCCTCGCGGAGCAGCATTACAGGTGTTCCCTTCACAAATCAGGGTGCTCCTGGAAGTGACAAATCTTCAACCTCAGGCTGCAGAATTAACACAAACTGATGAATGAGAAACGTAATCGAATCTAGTGCGTAGATAAAAGTGTTTGTTTGCGTGCGCCCTTTTTTTTTTGTGCACTTGCATGTGGAATAGCATGTGACTGCTGTTGCAGTCAGCGAGACAGTCACACCCATGTGTCTGGCCTTGTTTCTCCGCCTGTCTACACACGCTATCGGCTGTGGTCAGTTCGAGGATGTGACAGAACACTGCCTTTTTTTTTTTTCCTTTCTTTTTTCAGAAAAGCTGTTTAAACAGACCAAGAACCATTCACATCCTCTTGTTAAACAAGGTACATGACAACACAAAACATATTAATAATATGAAAGACCTTTAATTGAAATCTTATTGAAACTTAAAGGTAACGTCAGCAGCAGAATTAAACTTTATTATATAAGTAATTGGGGAAAATGTACTTTTATATTTACTTGTGAAAATAGTGGAATAAAGTATATAAAGTAGCATGAAAGAATTTACTGAAGTACAAGTATCTTTCATGCGGCTTAAAGTTGGCGTCTAATGAAACTATGCTCTAAAGGATGAATGGTGAATCCTTGTTTGGTTTGAACCATGCACGGATTATTGTGGTTGAGCATAATGTTCATATCTGAATAAGAAACAATGATTCTCAGGTAGGGTCAAGCCAATCATGAAGCTTTTACGTGCAAAATGTGCATACTCTGACGTAGATGATTTACTAACAAGACTTTAATTGGAAAGTTTGATTTAATGATCTAGTGTTTCATTGTGGGAATGACACAGAGAGGCACAGGTGACAACACAGACAGACCATGAAATATGGTTTACAGCTAGTATGTTTTTTTGTTGTTTTTTTGGGGGGGGGGGGGGTCATTTGTGTCCAATGACTAAAAAACTGAGAACTTTAAGCAACACATTGAACTCCAGTCATGTGGCAGTTTTATGTTTACTTTTTGCCTCCTGAACTACGGCAGACTTCTTTCTGTTTCAGCAGCAGGTAAACACAGATCAAACTGGCAGAACCTTTGAGGCTAAAACAGACCGTGTCTGTGAGGTGAATGAAAATGAAGTTGCATGTATGGAATAGTCCCAATAAAATAAACTACACTAAATGTAAACAGTTCACAACATGTATCATGGATCATAATAATCAGAAAAGCTTATTCATGCTTTTATTACGTCCCGCCTGCAACTCCCTCTCTATGGGAGTCAGTCAGTCCTCCGTCTCACGGCTACAGTACATCCAGAACGCCGCTGCAAGATTTTTAACAGGTGCACGCAAGCAAGAGCACATCACCCCTGTACTCGCCTCCCTTCACTGGCTCCCTGTAGATCTTAGAGTCCATTTTAAAATTCTATTACTTGTTTTTAAGTCACTACATGGTCTAGCCCCCCCCCCATTTAACAGAACTTGTAACCCCCTACACCCCATCATGCCCACTTAGGTCCTCTGAACAGTCGCTCCTTGTAGTCCCTCGAGCGCAACGAAAACTCAGAGGTGACCGTGCCTTCTCAGTGGCTGGCCCCCGTCTGTGGAATCAACTGCCTCCCTCCATCAGACAAATCAACTCGTTAAATCCATTCAACTCAAAACTCAAAACTCAACTCTTTTCCCTGGCATTTAAAACAAGTTGAAACAGACCCCATATACAGTGGGTACAGAAAGTATTCAGACCCCTTTACATTTTTCACTCTTTGTTTCATTGCAGCCATTTGCTAAAATCAAAAAAGTTCATTTTATTTCTCATTAATGTACACTCAGCACCCCATCTTGACAGAAAAAAAACAGAAATGTAGAAATTTTTGCAAATTTATTGAAAAAGAAAAACTGAAATATCACATGGTCATAAGTATTCAGACCCTTTGCTGTGACACTCATATTTAACTCACATGCTGTCCATTTCTTCTGATCCTCCTTGAGATGGTTCTGCTCCTTCATTGGAGTTCAGCTGTGTTTAATTAAACTGATTGGACTTGATTAGGAAAGGCACACACCTGTCTATATAAGACCTTACAGCTCACAGTGCATGTCAGAGCAAATGAGAATCATGAGGTC